TGATTATCATAGATTGTGTACCTTATCTTTCTAACACAAAAGACAAAAAAAAGAGAATGAAACATAATAGAAATAAGAGTATAACCGTAAATTCAATTTTCAAATAGTATATTAAATCTACTTTTTCAAAATCAATGAGACTAATTGATCTATAAGAAAATCCTTGGGATTAAATGATTTACCATTTCTCAAGATGAGATTTATGAGTAAATTTTTTATAAAAAAAAAAATATTAAAAAAAAAACCAAAAGCTTAGAATTTCAGGCGTAAATTTAACCTTTTTATTACTCTATAAATGAATCTTCACCTTAGAATTAAAGGCCCATTTTGGTAACTTTGATTTCTTCTTTTTTATTATTGTGTGGGTGAAAATCTGACCACACTGCCCGTTTAGTGATCAGCTGGAGAGCACAGGCAGAATAGATGGCTTTAGCAACCTGTAACAGAAAGAAAAAGCTCCGGCGGTGGTTCTTCCACCCGGGGGCACTCCGACGATCAAGTCAGTATATCTCTCAAAGATAATCAAGTGCTAAACTGAATACTCAAAACATAAATTGGATGTGATGTTTTGTTTGTTATGGCTAAAATAGCTTATTTTGTTTTTTGTGACTAAAATAGCCAAAAAAGCCTGAAAAAGTCTTTGCCAAACACAGGCATAGTATTATGATTGCATTCATACCATTGGGTTATACGCTTTAAAATAGATACATTTTGGAAAAGTCAATGAGTAGAAGAAAAAAAAAAAAAGTGAAAGCACTAAATCTTAAACTATGATTTGAGTTGTTTGAATTTTTATTTTATTTATTTATTTATTTATTTATTTTTATGAACTCAAATATTCTATTAAAGTAGAAATTATGTAAAACGATAGTCACTTACATGTTTCAATTTAATTTTTTAAGAATAAAAATGAGTTTCTCTAAATATGAAATTATACATTTGAGTAATTTGCACTATAGAATTTTTAGATTTTCACTCCTAAAATAAATCTCACATTACCAATAAAAATTTAACACTCTAATGTAACACTCTAATAATATAACACTCCAATATAACACAGTAAATTTTTTTTGGTATATTTTTCTCACACGTAGCAATGTAACACTAAAAAAAATCTCTTTAATGTATTTTTTCTAAACGTAACACTCCAATATAATACAAAAATAAATAAATAAATAAACAAATAAATTTCTTAGTGTATGAAAACCAAACATAACATTCCAATTAATGTAATCCCAAACATAACACTCCAATCATTACAAAAAAATTAAGGTTTTAGAGACAAAATTATTTTTTAGGGATTAAATATTTTTGTTGCGAAAAGTGTCGTCATTATATTTTTAGCAATAAAAATTACACATTAGTGATGAATTATTATCCTTTTGTGACTAAATTTTTTGTCTCAAAAAATAAACTATCTTGAAATCAAATTATTTTGTCCCTAAAAGTCTATTTATTAATGACATTTTCAAAATTTTATCGCTAAAAGCATTGTTTTTTACTTTTCGGGACGACCTTTTAGCGACTATCTTAATGACGATAGAAATTGGTCTCTAAATATTTTTTGCAACAAAATTTTCATTTTTAGAGACCAAAACTTTTGATCTCTAAAACTCTTATATATTGTAGTGAATGTAACATACTTCAATGTAACACACACAAAAATATTAAAAAACTTTTTAGTGTACTTTTTCAAAACATAACACTCACAGTTTAAAATTATACATTTGTCAAAACTTACTAATGAATTTTTGTAATCCTTTTGGAATAGTTTGAAGAATCTCATATTTTTTTAGAGTGTTACAATTGATAATAGTACACTAATGAATTTTTTTGTATGTTATATTAAAGTGTTACACTAAGGAGTTTGTTTGGAGTGTTATGTTTGGGAAAAATATACTAAGGAGTTTTTTTGTGTTACATTATAGTGTTACACTAAAGAATTTTTTGAGAATGTTACGTTTGAGAAAAATACACTAAAGAGTATTTTTGTGTGTTACATTGGAGTGTTACACTAAAGAGTTTTTTTTAGAGTGTTACGTTTAGAAAAAGTATACTAAGAAATTTTTTTTTTGAAAAATCTCATATTTCAAATTATTTTTGTACTCATTCTGAAATATTTTCCAAATAAAAAATATTCTCATATAAAAATTCATCTCAAATTTGATTATCATAGATTGTGTACCTTACCTTTCTAGCACAAAAGACAAAAAAAAAAAAGAACGAAACATAATAGAAATAAGAGTATAACAGTAAATTCAATTTTCAAATAGTATATTAAATCTACTTTTTCAAAATCAATGAGACTAATTGGTTTATAAGAAAATTTTTGGGATTAAATGATTTACCATTTCTCAAGATGAGATTTATGAGTAAATTTTTTATAAAAAAAATAAAAAAAATAAAAAAACCAAAAGCTTAGGTGCCGTTTAGTAACACTTACGTTTTCAGTTTTCTATTTATATTTATAAAAATTTAAAAAACTCAAATAAAAACTTGTTTGCTAAAATTTTTAATTTACGAATCAGTGGTCTCAGTTTATAAATTTGGTTAAAAAATGAAAACACAAAAAATGTGTTTCCATTTTGAGTTTTCAGTTTTTTTTTTTTATCACCCAACATTAGTCACCACCTGCCACCATTTTCCACCACCGTCTTCCGCCACCACCACCCCCCCTCCACCACCACCTGCCACCACCACTCACCACCCACCTGCTACCACCCGCCAATACGGCCCACCTGCCACCCACTCGTCAATGTGTCTAGAAAGTGGACTTGTATATTATTTTTCTTTCAAATGAGTATATTGTGATTATCGGATCACAAGTATCTTTATAGGATCTATGCTAAACAACTTGCTCAAAATGGACTTGTTCACTAATTTTCATTATTTCCTACTAAGACTAAAAAAAAATCACAATTTTTACAAATCAAAATTCTATTAAAAATTTTAAAATTCTAAAAAATCTACAAATTACAAAAAATCAATAATATTAAAAAATAATTAAAATTAAGTCAATTATTCACAATTTATCATTTGAAGACTTACTACTCCATAGGAATAACATTCACTATATCTCTTATATATAATTAACTTTAATTTACTACCTCTATCAATTCAATGGTTGAAAAGTTTAAAAATTAACTGAATTTGTTACTTAATTGTGCCGAAATAACAAGTTACGCAATATTAAAAAAATGACCATGTCAAAGCCATTTTAACTTGGGCCAGTAGAGAGTTTCTAAATTGGGTTTTGGGTTTCCAATAACATATGGGGTACATTACACTAGGATTTATTACACTTTGTATGCATAAACTATCATTAAATTTTCTATTTAAGAATGAAAATATAGTGGTATGCCTGAATTGGTGCATGTTATGTTACATTTTATTTCTGTTAACATTAAAAAGCACATTCCATCCTTCAAATGAATCATTAAGTGCTCCCTCCTCCATGCACAAATGTGCACTTGCACAAAAAATAAATAATTACAATAATTGCAAATTATGATTACTTCATGGTGTATCTAGTTTTTCATCTCACCAACAGTATCTGAACGTTTAGTGATCAGCTGGAGAGCACAGGCAGAATAGATGGCTTTAGCAACCTGTAACAGAAAGAAAAAGCTCCGGCGGTGGTTCTTCCACCCGGGGGCACTCCGACGATCAAGTCAGTATATCTCTCAAAGATAATCAAGTGCTAAACTGAATACTCAAAACATAAATTGCATACCTTAGACCCATGGGGGTGCCTCTCTTTTATAATATACTCAATCCAAGTCCCAATAGAAGTATGACTTCTATGAACTTCATCTCAATGTTTACTTTGGATTCTTAAAGAGATAAAGATAAACTCCCTAAGAGTTCTATCCTTATCCAAGGTCAAGTCCCCTCTCCGTCTTAGGACTCTTGTCCTTTATCTCGGATTCCGATATCTTCGGAGATGACCTCGGCTTCTCCAAGATTACCTCGGCTTAACTACTAGGGCACGTGGCACCTCGGCTGACACGTCGGCGTCACCATGCCACGTGTTGGTATTCAGAAAATATATCCCCACAATTATTATTATTTTTTTAAGACTTTTCAAGGTCGTATCACCTTTTTATTTTTTTATTTTTTTCAAAAAAAATTAACTTTTAACATATTTATCAAAATAATCTAAAATCGTAATAACATTTGTAAACCTACCGTATATATATATTTTTTTGTTAGAGTGAACATATATTTGGAAAAAATAATTCATATTTGGAAACTGTTTTATTGCTTAAAAATAATAATTCGGTTTTGGAAACAATAAATAATTGCCTACATTAAGGTTTTTGAAATTATGACTTACACTGCATAAATAGAATAAAATAATAATAAATATAAAATTTAAGCCATGTTAAGACTTTAACAAATTTAAAAAGTATTTCACAATTTGTATGGTATCTAATATTTTCAAATTAGAATTCAAACTTCCAAAAAAAAAAAAAAAAAAAGAGATAAACTTGAAATCAAGAAACTTTAACGCACACACAAACTCACTCCTACAATCCACGTCCCGTATTTCTCTCAACACATTATCATACAAAATCCTAACACACAAAACCAAATCAACTAAACCTTCTCTCTCTCTCTCTTCCTTTATTTTCTCTTCTCTTTCTCTCTCTCATCCCATCTTTTTTCCATCGAGAGAAAATACAGGAAACTTCATCCCCACAAAAATGTCCAATTTTATCTAAACCCCTCCACAAAAAAGGCAAACCCTAAAAATGAGCAATACAAATAGCCACACAAACACAAGTCCTAGTACTGGGTTTGGTCCAGGAGGCACCAATGTTTCACAAGCCTGTGCCGCATGTAAGTACCAACGTAGGAAATGTGCCCCAGACTGTCCTCTCGCTCCTCACTTTCCTCAACACCAACACAAACACTTCCTCAATGTCCACAAACTCTTTGGGGTCAGTAATATAGTCAAAGTACTCAAAACTGTGAGGTCTTTCGAAGAAGAAACCGCTATGAAGTCGATGATTTTTCACGCGAATGTACGTGCTAATGACCCCGTTGGTGGGTGTCATCGGATAATTCGTGAACTCGAGCAGCAGATTCAGCATTACGAGGCTGAGCTCGAGGTTGTTCTTCGTCAACTAGTGGTTTGTCGTGTAGAAAATGTAGTGAATGAAATGCAAAACCCTAATAGTGTAGTTGGTTCGAGTGATTACTATGGTCATCAACCTATTCAAGATCCATTAGGGTTTGATGATATGCAAAGAAGTGGTGCAATTAAAGTAGATATGCAAGCTTCTTCTTCGTCGTCGATGGTGATGAATAATGGTAAGCAGATTTTGTTGAGGAATCGGAATATATCAAGCCACAACAGCCCATTCTATTCCAGTCCGATGAATCAATTGAGTTATTCAGGTTTGTATTTTATCATTATTTAGGATTTTTTTTTTGTTTCTATGTTAATGTTGTTCAAGTCTAGAGAATGTGTAGAATTGATGCTAAAACCCTAAATTGTCTAAAATTTCACTTATTAAGATTTATGTTCATTCATTGAATATAAGGCAATTTATAGTGTAATTTATTGAGGATTCTAGACACAAACTGCATTTTTTTTTTTATCGCCGAAAGTTAATTGTTAAATTAGCAACTGTGACAGTAATTCTTATCTACTCATGCAAAGCATGATACGCTTGCCTCCTAATTCAATTCTTTCTTAGAGAGAGTTGAATTTATGACCTCACTCTTGAGATTAAATCCTTAGAAAAGTCATAATTGTCCTAGTTGGTTGACACAAAGTACATTGTTATTGGAAAAAATTTCAATATAAAATAGATTAAGGAATATATTTACTTCAGTTATGGTAAACTTTGGGCGTAACTATGACACTTTTGCAATAACCATTCTGTTAAAGGGAAATTTCAATTCAGTTGAAGTTGCTAAAAAAAAAATAATTCAAAACAGTTGTTAACTATAGAAATTTTAATAATCAAAGTCTTAAACTTTGTCATGAATATGTAATTATTTTATGAAAATTTCACTGAATTGTAATTTTCCCTTTAGTTAATGCTATTTTTGACTAAAAATTATTTTGATAGTATGTACTATTTAAGAAGGAATTTAATTCGCAACATTTCAGTTTAAATGGGGAATAATTTCTACATGTGTTCAAACTTTGAAATTATCTATAAATTTATTTGTGGGAGTTGAAGTTAGAGTAAATAGATTCAAACTAAGCCTGTGGGGACTATAAAGAATATAGTTATGATAAAATGTTAATGGGCTTCATATGTTATGTCAGTTCAGTTAATTTGAACCATTAAAGGTTTATAATAAATTAAAAATGGTTCGAAATATTTTGACTTTGCAATGTTGTTTTTTTGGTAATAATACTTCCCTTTTCAATCTCTCACATCTCTACAGTTTAGTCTCATAGTTAGTTATCCCTATCTTATAATTGACCTTGCTTAAAGAAGGAATTAGAGTAACAAGCCAAATGAGATGCTTATTGGCTTATTGGTTTATTTCTGTCACATTAACTTTCTATTTTTTTTTATGTCTTTTCGTAATAAGTAAAAAGGTTAAAAAAAAAAAAAAAAAGGTCATGCCCAAATCTCCCCCTAATGATTTTGTTTCTACTAACAAGAAAACAAATATTAGATTTGATGAAACCAAACACCCAAGGTTTATTGTGCAATGAGTTTTTAATTAATATAAAATAATTATGATTTGGGTATTTTGGAAGGAGGAACTCTGCATTTATTTAATTGGTGACAATATTTCGTATTGATGTTTCTGAGGTCTATTAAAAGCATGATCTTTACCTTATTAGGAATTCTTTAGATTCATAAGCCTAAATTAGGAATTTCTCCTATATCTTGGCTAGCTTGTATGTTATACTAAGAATGTACATTTAGTTTGATGGCTATACCACATAATTGCATGAAAAAAATCTAACTAGAACATATTGAGAAGCGATTTCAGTATGGACGTGCACATGGCAAAGCCAATTGTTATGATTAATTTCATTATGTTTTGCATGGTCATAGTTAGAACACCTCACATATGATGACCCTAAGATCATGCAAATCATAAATCCATCCCTCCAAACTTTTGACGTTTAGAGAGAATAGGAATGTGGGCAGTCCAGTGTCGCGGCCAAATTTTCATAGCTAAGAGTGATTTCTAAAATCTCACAAGCCATAGAACTAATCAAATCAAGAAAATTCATAGAAATAGGAAAATGATGTATTTGACTTTGAATTCTCAATGATTGCCATTATCTCTTTAATCATCCCCTAAACACACGACATAGTAACAATCAATATATGTAGGAAAGATTCCCACAAGGCAAGTCACTACTCGTTCATCAAGATTTATTTGGTTTGAGATAAAGAAATGAAAGAAATCTCCCTAAGATCTAGTGCTCATAAGGAATCGGCTAGCGTTGAAGAGTGTCACACCGCTGTCAACTTTTTTTTTTTTTGGATAACTCAGGTATCCCCAACCCGAGGGCCCTGAAGTTAACGACCGGGCAAACCTCCAGTGGCCCCAAGGGGTGACTCGAACTCGAGACTTGTGGCCCTGTGTTATGGACTTAATGTGTAGATACTAGTTGTATAATTTCTATTTCTATGAGGGACAGAAATAGAAATTAAAACATATTGGTTAAAGTTGGTTTTCATTACCTTTCAGTTTTAAAAACCAATAATGGTTAATTTATTGGTTTTCATTACCTTTCAGTTTTAAAACCAATAATGGTTAATTTATTGGTTTTCATTACGTTTCAGTTATGAAAACCAATTACAACCTTTAAAAGGTTATGGTCCCTATTCCTTCCCAAGGCGAAAAAATAAGAATACTGTTTTGTTTTTCTAAATCCTCTCAAGGAGAAACATTTAATTTCAAATTTAAAATATATATATATATATATTTATATTTTAAAAGCATTTTATTTAGCTAGTACCAAATAGAATTTTTTTAGCAAAAAAGAAAGTTATATAATTTTGTTACAAATTTTCAAATGTCTATTGTTAAATATTCTATTCTACTTACTTATTTGCTTGCTTGCTTGTTTTGGGAGTTTTGATTTTTGATCTTTATTCTACATTCATCATATTGCTTTATTTAGGAGTGGTTTGGAATGATCTAAATAAGTGCACTTTTTGAGTTTTTATGAAATATGGGTGTAGACACCCTATTTTTGACTGACCTTAAGATTCAGACGTTACCGATTGAGCGCTTGGTGATGTTGCATATCATGCTCGTTTAGAGGTTTCAGAGTCTCGGCTGCAAGCCTCGGCTGCAAGCCTCGGTTTCATGCTTTGCCTCGGTTTGCGAACCAAGCTCTGTTTTCTCTGTTTTTCTCTTCCCGAAGGGAGGGAGAGGTTTCGTAGATCATCTCTCAGTGGCCGTAGGCCATTTTGCCCGTTTGGAGTCCGGTTTTCGATTTTTCGGAGCCGTTGGCCGTGTGCCTCGGTTCAGGACTGCTTAACCACCTCCGTTTGCTTCGGTTTTTGGCATGCATCTTATTTGCTCCCTTTTGAGGGACATTGTGGCTCGAGAGACCAACTTCATGGTCGAACACCACTTCCGGTGCCTAACAGTTAGTTTTCGGGGGCTCGGGCTGCGCGTTTCGGCCCTCGAACCTTCATTTTGCATCGGTTTGGGCTCATTTTTGGTGGAGACCTTATTTTCACTGCTAAGGAGGTCGTAGAAGGGTGGGAGGCCAGTAATTGTTCCGACAACCAGTTTTATTCCTCCATCGCCCTCCGTTGCCCGTTTTTCTCACTTGAAAGCCAATGTTGACCACCCTAAGGCCACTTTTTCCAGCCCTAAACCACATATTTGTGTTGTACACACCTGGGAGGCCACCAATATCATATGGCCGGCCAGTAATTGTGTGTGACCCTTTTGAACCCCTCCTAAAAGTGGCCTTTTCTCTCTCCTAGTTCATTTTCTCCAGTTTTTTACCACATGGTTGTGTTGTGCACACTTGAGAGGCCCTCTTTTTGGCATGGCCGGCCATTAACCTTCATTGACCCTTTTGACCCTTGGCCGACCGGCCATGGGAAAGGCCGACCGGCCACCTAAACCCTAGGAAACCGGCCGGCCATGATCCTCTCTCCAGGTACTTTACGAAAATGCCCTCTGTTTCCCCCCAGATTTTGTATCCGAGAGGGAGCCAACTTTTGGGGGGAAACTTGAATTCCATTCCCCCCTTTTTTCCCCCCTCTTTTGCCTATATATCCAGGCCCTCCAGCTCCCATTTGGAAGGTTACAAAATTCGCTTTAAGGCTTTTACATTGTATCTCTCTCTCTCTACACTTCAACCCTCAAAACCTCTCAAATCCTACACCCATTCTACTCCATCTCCAAGCCAACCAATTCACACTCCATTCCAGCAGCTTCAAGGTCATTTCCAGAGGTCAAGGGCTCCCAAACTTGGTCCAAGAGTTGTTGAAGCATTGGTCTTCAAGGGTAAGTCTTCTATCCCTCTCTTTGGCCCTATTTTTGCTCAATATATTAGCTCCTCTTGCTTGCATATTTGGGCTCCAACCCTAACCGAAAATAGCATTATTTTGAGCTCCTTTTCATGTTTGTTTAAGGGCCTCTCCCTGTTTGAGACTTCCTTTTTACACTTGCTTCTTTACCTCTCTTGTATGCCTCTTTCTTGCATAGTATTTTAAGCCTATTTGTAAACTGTTTTGAGCTTGGTTATAAACTGTAAAGTGGCTTATTTTGAGCCCTTATTCAACATTGTTGAAGGGCTCTTCACTGTTTGAGGCTTCCTTTTGTCACTTGCTTCTTTATCCCTCTTTTGTCCTTATTTTTGCATGTTTTGTTAGCCCATTGTGCTTATATTTTTGGGTTCTGGTCCGAACTGTAAATAGCCTTATTTTGAACCCCTCTTCTTGTTTTATCAAGGGACTTTTGATTTTTGAAGCTCCCTTTTTGCTCTTTGTGTTTAAACCTCTTTTTAGGCCTTATTTTGCATAGTATTTTAAGCTTACATGTGCACTGTTTTGGGTTTGTTCACTAACTGTAAAATACCATGTTTTGGGCCCCTCTTCAACTTTGTTGAAGGCCCCTCCTCTGTTTGAGGCCAGCAACCATCACTTGCTTCTTTGTCTCCCTTTTGGCCCATTTCTTGCACAATAGTTTAGCCATACTTGTGTTTGTTTTCGTGGTTTTTTGTAAACTATAAAGTGCTTCATTTTGAGCCCCTCTTCAACTTTGTTGAAGGGTTCTTGGCCATTTAGGGCCAGAAGATGCTACTTGCTTCATTATCTCTCTCACGAGGCCATTTTTGCATGCTAACTTAGCCCTATTTGTATTCACTTTTTGGCCTTACTTAAAACTGGAAATATGCATGTTTTGGGACTGTCTTGATTCTGTCTTCACACTTCATGTTCAAA